AATCCCCGGTACTGAAGGGGGGGGGGGAGTGTCATACAGTGTATGATTCCATTTTTGTGGGTTTAATCTCTTTTATAGGTCTGGTTTTTGGGGTTTTTTTGGTACCGGGGATCGAACTTAGGACCTTGCACTTTCAAGGCAGGCGGCAGAACCACTGAGCTAAATCCCCAGCCCTGGTTTAATCTCTCTCTCTCTCTCTCTTTTTTTTTGTTTTAATCTCTTTAAAAAAATTTTTTTGGAGTCCTGGTCCAGAACTGGCCTCAAACTCATGAAAATCCTCCTGCCTCAGCCTCCTGAGTGTTAGAATTACCGGCATGCACCACCCATGTCCAGTTAAAGAATTTATTACTACACGTTCATGATATGTATTGAATACAATCATCATGAGTCCATTTTTGAAATATCAAGAACAAGTGTAGGGCCGGGAATTTAGCTCAGTGGTGTCACCGCCTGCCTTGCAAGCGCAAGGACCCAAGTTTGATCCCCAGTACAAAAAAAAAAAAAAAAAAGAACAAATGTGGCTGGGGATTGAGCTCAGTAGCACCACAAGCACAAGTTCTTGAGTTTGATCCCTGGTACCGCAGAAAAAAACCAAAAAAAACCCTGAAAAAAACAGGTGAATCCAGCCAAGAATGGTGGCACAGGGGCTCCAGGTCAACCTGGACAGCATAGCAAGACCCTATCTGAAACTAAAAATAAAAAACAAAAAAAGAAGGCTGTGGATTTAGCTCAGTGGTTTCACCGCCTACTGCGCAAGCACAAGGACCCGAGTTCAATCCCCGGTACCAAAAAACAAAACAAAAAAAACAAAACAAAAAAGAAAAAAGAAAAGCAATTGTGAATAAAATATTACAACTATCAACAAATTATAATTGGAAAAAAATTATAATTGATTACAATTAACAAAAAATTGAAAGGAGAAACTTTCAAATATCCTGCTTCTCCTTAAAAATCTTTTCCCCTTTGGTCTTTTTGTTTGTTGCTGCTGTTTCCAGTACTGGGAGTGGAACCCAGCGCCTCAAGCATGCTACACAAGCGCTGGGGGTGGGGGTGGGGCGGGTTTCACGGGGCGCTGTGTTGCCCAAGCTGGGCTCAAAACTGGCCACATGGTGGCGCATGACTGTAATCCCAGCACTCTGGGAGGCTGAGGCAGGAGGATCGCTGTGAGTTTGGGGCCAGCCTGGGCTACATAGTGACCTTGTCTAAATAAATAAATAATAAATTCTAAAAATGAAACCAGGCCAGGCAAGCTTCAGGCTGGGCAAGCTCAGTGTGAAGATCTTGGATTCAATCCCCAGTAATGAAAAAAAAAACCAACCCTCTTACTTGTCCAACTCTAGCGAGTCAGTATTTTCAGTTCTTAACCCGTGCAACTGCAAGACGCAAACTCGGTGGTAGGACCTCAGTTTTGCAGTGCGGTAGACAGCTGGGCTAAACTGCGGGCCTGTGGGTAGGAGCCAGAGACCCCCAGACCCTGCCCACCTGCTCTGGGGCCAAGTTCAATCTCAAGGGCGTGGGGTGCTGGGGGAGCCCCAGGGCAGCTCTCTGGCTCCCAGGCCCGGTGGGCTCAGGTGGGGCCCCCAGGACTTCTCTGGCCCTGGGGAGGCACAGAGCCGGCTGCAGAGTGGGCGCAGAGGGCGGGGCGGCGCTGTGGGCGAGGGTGGTGCCCCGAACCTGCTGGGCAGGTGCCGGCCCAGGCAGGCCGCAGGGGCAGCCAAGCCAGGCAGAGCCAGGCCAGGGGTGAAACTCTCCCCCCCCCCGAAGATGGCAGCGGGGAAGGGCAGGGAGGTGGAGATGGCTGGGGCTCAGTCGGGACCCCTCCATCCTAATCCCTCCACAGATACAGTCAGGACAAGGATACCCACCTTCACTTTTAAAAATATTTTTTTTGGTACCCGGGATCGAACTTGGGACCTTGTGTTTGTGATGTAGGTGGTGGCATCACTGAGCTAAATCCTTGGGCCGCCCCCCCCACCTCGCTTTTTAACATTTTTTACACAGGCTCTTGCTGTGTAGTCCAGGCTGGCCTCAAACTCTCGGTGATCCTCCTGCCTCAGCCTCCCTTGTGCTGGGATGACAGGCGTGGGCCACCACAACGGCAGCTGTATTAACACTTACGGATCCCTTATTGTATGCCGCTCTGCTTTCATCCCCACAAATGCCCTGGGAGTGTGTGTTGCCGGGGTCATTTTACAGATGAAGGCCCCGAGACTCAGGGGACCTCCTCCCAGGGTCCTAGAGGACCAAGTGGCTGAGCCCTCAAGCTCTTCATCCAAGGGGCAATGAGGTCCAGCCTTATGGAAGCTGAGACACACAAATGAATAAAAAATAATGAACAATTGCCGGGCGTGGTGCTGCATTCCTATAATCCCAGCCCTCAGGAGGCTGAGGCAGGACTGCTGTGAGTTCAAGGCCAGCTTGGGATACAAAGGAAGACCCTGTCTCAAAAAACAAAACAAGGGGCTGGGGATTTAGCTCAGTGGTTCTGCCGTCTGCCTCGCAAGTGCAAGGTCCCGAGTTCAATCCTCAGTACCAACAAAACAAAAGAATAGACAGGAATGGTTGCACACACCTGTAATTCAGCACTCTGGGGACGCTGAAGCAGGAGACTTTGAGTTCAACCTGCGCAATTTAGTGAGGATCTTGTCATTTAAAAATAAATAAATAAATAAGGGGCTGGGGATGTAGCTCAGCATGGTGGCCCTGGGTTTGATCCCCAGTGGCAAATAAAATAAAATAATATAAAATGAAACCCATAAGGTGATTTTTAGACATGCCAAGTGTCATTTGAAATTGGAGAGGAGAGAAGACAGGCCCTGTGGGTCATGCCTGTAATTCCAGCTACTATGAAGGCTGGGGCTGGAGGATCACAATTCCTTTCTTTCTTTCTTTTTTTTGGTACTGGGGATCAAACTCGGGACCTTGTGCTTGGTAGGCGAGCAGCAGAACCACTGTGCTAAACCCTGGCCCTGGAGGATCACAGTTTTGAGCCTTCAAAACGAAATGAAAGAGAGGAGAGAGGAGAGAGAAGAGAGAAGAGAGGAGAGATGAGAGGAGAGAGGGATGGATCAGGGAAGGTCCATCTAAGGAGGTGATCAGCTGGCAAGAAATGGGGAAGAGAGTTCCAGGCCAATGGATCCTCTTGTTCAAAGGTTTTGAGTTCTTTGAGGCTCAGGAGGAGGTCGGCAGGGCTGGAGCTGAGGGAGTGGGTGGGTGTAGAACGAGGGACCCACAGATGGTGTGGCCTGCAGTGAGGACGTGAGGCTTTGGTCAGAGAGACCCAGGGAGCCACGCGAGGCTGTGGAGAAAGGGAGGGGAATCTGGCTGCTGAGCACTGTGCCCCAGGTGTGCACGGGCTGCCAGGGATGGAGCTTCGGGAGTCCCGGGGGCTCCTGACGTCACACTGCAGACGCCACAGCCAGAGTCCCCAGGGTTCTCACTCAGTGGGAAAAAGGTGCACGAAGCACCCGAGGCCGGAAGTGCCCCCCTGTGCCCCACAGAACTCGCGGGTGAGATCGGTGCCTGGGAGGTGTGAAAAGGCCGCCTCCCTCCCTGGGGCGCTGCCTCCCCTCTGCAGAAGGTCACTCATGGAGGGCCCACTGCATGCTCCGCGCCTCGAGGGCCCAGCGCGAGGCTGGGTCCCGAGGAACCCAGGGCGAGAAGGGGCAACGGCACGGCCCCAGCGAGCCCATTGGCTGCGCTGCCCCCGGGCGTGGTTCTGATTGGTCGGCGGGATGCTGCCTACTCGGAGGCCCAGAGTGCCAAGGGGCTTCGCAGGACGAGACCTGCGAGGCTCCCCAAGGCTTAAATGCGTGCACGGCCTGGCGTAGACGCCTCGTGACTCCTCCCACAGAGACACGCCAAGCCCCAACCTCCGTCCCAATCTCTGGCTCCTGGGTCTCCCTCTCCCCACTGCGGCCAACAAGGCCAGGGGTGGCCCGGGCAGAGGGCACGGTCAGGGCGCAGGTCTCTGCGGTCACACTCAGCCCCTAGTCCTGGCTGCAGAGGAGCAGGGAGGGGGAGCTGGGCCTCGCCAGGAAGCTCCCGGGAGCCGGGGTGGTGGTAGTGGTGGTGGTGTAGGGTGCAGGACCAGCTGGGACAGGCCCGCTGGAGGAGCAGGGGCCTGGGAGAGGCGTGGGAGAGCCACACGGAGGTGAGGAGAGATTGCACACACATAGGGTAACATGGGCACACGCAGAGGAGCATCAGAGAGCAGCAGACTCCCACTCTCTTTTTATTTTTTATTTTTTTTGGTACCGGGGATCGAACTCTGGACCTTGCGCTTTCGAGGCGGGCGCTGGAAACACTGAGCTAAACCTCCGGCCCCACTTTTTGTTTTTTAGACAAGGTCTTGCTATGTAGCCCGCCCAGGCTGGCGCCCACCTCGCTGTGACGCTCCTGCCTCAGCCTCCCGAGTGCTGGGATGACAGATGTGTGCCACCACCACGCCCTGCTCCCTCAGTATTCAGCAGACACTGATTAGTTACTGGCTGTGTCCCTCCCGTGCCCAGGACACACTCACGTCCTCCGGAGGCTGGCTGGCTGACACTCTAGGGGGGACATTGCCCGGAAACATGAGGACACCACATTTGTCAAAAGCGATCAGGGTGGCGGAGACCGGGCGGGGGAGCTGTTGGAACCAGGGAGCGGGGTGAGCTGGACGCTCCTTATCTGGGGACCAGGGTGCGCTCATCCCCACCCCGCCTGCGCCCACCCCTCCCCCACGCGCCCGGCCGGGAGTGGAAGCCGGACGTGGGGACCTGACACCACAGGGAGGAGGACAAGGTAGTGTGGCCGCTGCTGCTGGCCCCCGGGACCTGCGCTGATGGGGCGCATTTGGGGTGCAATACAGGGGGCTCGGTGGGGAGAGGGCGGAAAGTGGGGCCTGGCCGGCCCAGAAGCCAGCCAGGGCCCCAGCGCCTGCGGAGTGGGAGGCGGCTCGGATGGCGACCGCCCCGCCTGCCCACCCCTCCCTCTCCCGGGCCTCCGGGCCTCCCACCGCGACGGGGCGGCCCCGAGAGCTCAGCCCAGGCCCGGAGGGGGAAGCTGAGGGCTCACTGGTGCCAGTCGCCGCCGGCTCGCTCTCCGGTGCCGCGGCGGGTGGCACAGGCTTGCAGCCAAGGGCTGAGTGCCCGGGTCGGGAGGAGGGGGCACCGCCGGCCACCGCCCCGCCCCGAAGAGCGCTCGGCTCCGGCTCCGGGCAGCGGCACCGCCGGAGCGCAGGGTGAGTGTCCCGCCCTGGGCCTGAGGGTTGAGCGCTGCCTGGCACGGGGAGGTGTCTGCCTCCGGATCTTGCGGGGAGGGCCCCATCATTTCCCCCAAGACCTCCAGGGAAGCCAGCAGAGGGCTTCGCTGGGAGGTGCAGGGTCTCGGGAGGGATGGGGGCTTGTGGGTGTGGAGTCCCCTGGTCTCACCCTCTCCTGGCTGGGCTACTGTCCCTGCAGGGCGAGGGGCTGGTGGTGAGACCCCTGTGGGTGTCCCCCTCAGACACAGCCATCCCGGGCTCTGTGTGTTTGGTGCCTCCTGGCCCCTGCATGGCCGAGCCAGTAACCCCCAGTCTGCTGTGTGTGGGTCCCAGTGTGGGACTGAAGCCATCTGAGGTGCTTTTGTCCTTTCCCCTTCCAGGTCTTGGTTTTCAGATCTAAAATGGGACCTGTAGGATGGTAAAGCCATTTCTCTAAAGTGTTTCTTTTGAGCCAGGTGTGGTGGTACTCCTTGCCCATAATCCCCAGCACTCGGGAGGCTGAGGCAGGAGGGTCGCTGCAAGTTTGAGGCCAGCTTGGGCTACATAGTGAGTTCAAGGCCAGCCTGGACTATATAGTGAGACCTTGTCTGGAAAAAAAAAAAAGTGTTTCTTTTGAGCCTCAGTTTTCTCATCTCCGAACTGGGACTAAGGGATTATTGCTGAGAGGATTACAGGGTGTGTCCCAGGAGGGAAGTGTCATTATGCTGTAATGACATGTGTGTCCCTGTGCGAAAAGCCAGTCTGTGTTAGGGCTCCTGTCCGCTGCCCTCAGGCCCTTCCTCAGGCACAAAGTGAGTGGCAGGAGCCTCAGAGCTGGAGTTTTGGCAGGACCAAGGGTTTTTAGCAGGAAGAAGCCCAGCGTGAAGCAAGGGGTGTGGAGCATGGGGCCTTGGGCCCCCGGCTGGGTGTGGGTGGAGGCTGTGAAACTGTGGCCTGTGCCACTGAGCATGAGACCCTGTCTCTGCGTGACCAAATTTTCATTCCTGTGTCTTTTTGCCTAAGTCTCTTTGTCCATCTGTTTTATTTCATTGATTTTTGCAGTAGTGGGCACTGAGCCCAGGGTCTTCTCACTGAGCCACATTCTCAGCTCTTTGTATTTTGAGACAGGGTCTTGCTAAGCAGCTAAATTGCCCAGACTTGGCTCAAACTTGTGATCCTCCTGCCTCAGCCTCCCAGAGTGCTGGGAGGACAGCCCTGAGTCACCATGTCCTACACACGTATGATTGTTGTATGTGTTTTCCTGTGTTTGAGGGGGAGGGTGATTGTGTGTCTTGCCCTTGTCTGTATGTGTTACTCTGTGTGTGTGTGTGTGTGTGTGTGTGTGTGTGTGT